TAGTCTCTAACATGACAAGAGCCTTTCAACCTTCTCTGTGATTGATCACACACACACACACACACACACACACACAAAAGGTTAAGGTATGTACAACTAAGGTTGGGCAAATTGAAGATGGTATTCTTGTAGAGGAAAAGAAGTTCAAGTTGTCATTACAGGAACTAATCTGCACACACAAATGGTAACACCACAATAGAGGAAACAGATCACATAATGCATTGCAAACAGCCTAAGTCCACTTACCACTCAAGTTTCAGTTATACCTTGCTGTTATTATTTGTCGTGAGGTGCCACCAACCCTCTCCCCTTGGGCAGCAATGCCCAGTCACAGTAACTTAGAACATCAGATAAAATTTGTGATGTGGAAAGTCTCTGGTGTGTGTGCCCATACTATATAGCATTACTATAATAAATAAATAGATACATAAAACTTCCAGATGTAAAAGCAACATGGCATTTCATGCAGTTTTATTCTGAAAATTACTAATGTATGTGTGAATGTTCATATAAGCAAAAAGCATTGAGGAAAAGGAAAGTAGTAACTGGAGGAAAGCAAATATAGTCAAATTTGTATGTCAATACTCCATAGAAAGCCCTGAACCAAACCAACTTCAAGACCTACTTACTCCTTACTACCTACTCAAGTCACTTTTATGAACAGACTTCTTTACTGTAAACAAGCTCTCCCCAGAGATAGAGTCCCCAATTCTATGTCACAAAGTTAATTTTGATGCAAGTTGCTGTGACTGCATATTGACCGAGGTGAGGGTTTCCCAACACCCCCCGGGTAACTGTCTTTATCTTGACATGCATAGCAGGACAGAAACTCTGGAGCTGCCAAGTGGACTCAGGTTATGAGTATGGTTTCTGCGATATTTTCCCTTTGTTTATGTTCATGTCTGCGGATTATTTCCTGTCATGATGACGGCAACTTTTTGTCCTCTACAAGAATACCTTGAATTTGCCCTACCTTAGCAAATCTATACTGTAAAGATTAATCAAATATACATACATACACAATAGATTTATTTCAATATATATATTTCAATATATATATATATATATATATATATATATATATATATATATACATATATTTCAATATATATATATATATATACATATATTTCAATATATATATATATATATACATATATTTCAATATATATATATATATATATATACATATATTTCAAATATATATATATATATATAATACATATATTTCAATATATATATATATATATATATATACATATATTTCAATATTATATATATATATATATTATATATATATACACATATATTTCAATATATATATATATATATATATATATATACATATATTTCAAATATATATATATATATATATATATATATACATATATTCAATATATATATATATATATATATATATCATATATTTCAATATATATATATATATATATATATATATATATATATATATATATATATATATATACATATATTTCAATATATATATATATATATACATATATTTCAATATATATATATATATATACATATATTTCAATATATATATATATATACATATATTTCAATATATATATATATATACATATATTTCAATATATATATATATATATACATATATTTCAATATATATATATATATATACATATATTTCAATATATATATATATATACATATATTTCAATATATATATATATATATATATATATACATATATTTCAATATATATATATATATATATATACATATATTTCAATATATATATATATATATATATACATATATTTCAATATATATATATATATATATATACATATATTTCAATATATATATATATATATACATATATTTCAATATATATATATATATATACATATATTTCAATATATATATATATATATACATATATTTCAATATATATATATATATACATATATTTCAATATATATATATATATACATATATTTCAATATATATATATATATATACATATATTTCAATATATATATATATACATATATTTCAATATATATATATATATACATATATTTCAATATATATATATATATACATATATTTCAATATATATATATATATACATATATTTCAATATATATATATATATATATATATATATATATATATATATATATATATATATATATATATATATATATATATATATATATATATACACACAGGGGAGAGATGGATAAAGAGAGACAAGGTGATAAAATAAAAATAAATAAAAAAAATAAATAAATAAAAAATAAAGCATGCCAAAAGATCCAAAATATTTACCATGGCAATTTTACTAAAAGACTATTGCCAAAGTCCTTTGGGATTCTCAGAATTAACTTTCCCACGGGCACAGGACGGGACAGCCAGAAGGCCTTCCATGCAAAACCCTTGAGGAACCTTTGCACTCCGGGTGAAGGCCCAAGGCGGGCATCTTTTCATGCCCACTTACAGACATTTGACA